CATTTCACCTTGCAGGGTGCTAGAATTCAGGCTTACAGTTCAGTCTTTTTCTCCTGGGAAAGGAAGTACCTACAGATGCTCTTCAGCAACAACTCTGTTAAATATCAAAGGAAAATAAATGAACCCTTAGGGCAAGACAGAGCAGCATCTAGCTTCTTCAGCCAAATCAGTCATTTGTAACAGAATGTTCTTTTAGAGATAAAACTTAGAGGAAATAATCAAGGCCACAGATAAAGCTGAAGGAACTCCAAGGAAATTGTATTCCTTTATAAGTGTCCCGTGTTTAAGCAGCAGTGCTAAAGAACTTCTCGATTTAATTTTTATACGGTTCCCTTGACACTCCTAGAAATTTCAGGTTTAATCATTAAATAATCATTCAGTGTAAAAGTTACCAAGATAGCAGTGCAGCTGGGAGATTCTACCTGGTCTAGTGGAAGATGTCCCTGCCCATGGTAGGGGGAGGTGGAATTAGATGATCTTTAAGGTTCCTTCCAACAGAAACCATTCTATGATAACAAAAATACTCTAGTTGAATGAACCAGACCATTTGCTGACTGAGGTACCCACTGCTGATATATTAAAAAAAACTATTCTAATTCTAAAGAAATCAAAACCAATAAAAAGCTACAAGTGTTAAAAATAAACAGTACCAGGCTTGGAATACTGTGACAAATGAATCTGAAGGTACTACATTTAGTGTAACCACTTTAAATCAACGTGGTTTTTTACACTCTCAGAGGCCTTTCAACATGCTGACCTCTAAAGCGAAGGTAAAGTCACAACTAGATGAAGCTCTCAAACGTACACAATACACACAAGCCAGTGTATAGATCATTCAAGTCTGGTGAACATTTTTCATCTTAGACTACCCTCCAAAGAGGCACATGCACCCAAACATCTCTTGTTCTCATCCTCAGCCCTGCAACTGCATAGGTTCAGGGAGCTGCTCCCCTAGAACAGCCCCGGGGGTCTTGGTGGGCAGCTGCTGACCATGAGCCAGCAGTGCCCCAGCAGCAAGGAGGACCAACCGCCTCCTTGTCTGTATGAACAGAAGTGATCGTCCCTCTCTACTCCACACTCATTAGACCACATCTAGAATACTAGGTCCACTTTGAGGGCTTCCAACAGAGGAAAGACATTGACAAACTGGAATGAGCTCAGTGGAGGGTCATCAGGGTGGCTGAGCACTTGCCCTGTGAGCAGAGGCTGAGGGAGATGGGTTTGTTCAGCCTGGAGAAGACACAGCTTTGGGGACCTGACAGCAGCATGGCAGTACCTATGGGGAGGTCACTGAGGCTCTGCACACTGGTGCATGGTGGGAAGATAACAAAGGCATGAGTTGAAACGAGAGTCTCAGACTGGGTGTAAGGAAAACTTTTCAAGAGGCCAATCAGGTGGTGAAGCTGGTTGCCCAGAGATGTTGTGCAGTCTCTCTCAGTCCTTGGACGTTTTCAAGAACAAACCCTCAACAACCTGTTCTGACCTAAGAACTGGCTTGCTTTGAGCTGGAGGTTGGACTAGAGACTTCCTAAGGTCCCTTCCAACCTGAGTTCCAGAAGAATTCAATTATTGGGAAATTACATTTTTTACTTTGAGTCACAAGTATATTCATATTCTCTGCAGTTACAAGTTGTTCCCCTGATGTCATTAATTACCTGGCAAAGAGTATCTGAATGGTTATCAAAAAGAGCAACTAAGGAACCACTTCAGAAAGTGTCACAGGCAAACTGAAGGCTTTTCTGTTATCACTGAGTAAAGGACACATCTGATGTCACTGTTCTCGAAGACAGGTAGAAAAATTGAAGACATTCCCTTGCAGATTTTGGCCTGGCCCTGTTACAAAGAAAGCATTGCAGAATCCGAAGAATAATGACCTGCTTGCTGTGTAGATTTATCATAGAAGACTACAATGAAGCCAGAACTGTAAGTAAAATCTAGTGTGAAATATCACAAAAATTCAGCACATCTCTTGTCACAAGAGACATTGACACTGAACAGTTAACCAGAAGGTAAACCACTGATCACTGTTAGTATAAACTGGAATTTATTGTTCCAAAGTAAAAAACTGGTCAAGTGAACTTCATAATCTGTGATGATACAAGATTTGACTTTTAAATGCTTATCTTGAGTACCAGATGCACAAAGAGAAATAAATAATATGCAGAAACTGAAAAGCCTGGTTAATAACGGGATATACAGAATAATGATCATCAAAATATGGAAAACAGTATTTCCAAATGCTTAACATGAGCAGCATCTACCTTCAGCATGCTGATGAACACTTCAGGAACTACAGACAGCCAAATGCATAGAAGACAAAAATGCTACTGATTGTAGCCCTGAGCACATTATTGGTATTTATGTCCCAATGCCCCTAACAGATTACAGGGAACAAAGTTTATTACTGTTTTGTGGTAAAGAAACTTCTGGTTTTGTGCAGTTTGGAATTATTATTTTGCAGATAACTTTAACCATCTTAGGCATCATCTGAGGCTCCTCACCCTGATAAAAGCACAGAATGAAGCACATGGAGAATGTGTTCAACATATACAACAGTGGCCTGCAAATTTTTAAAGGAATCCAGGACACTGTCCTGGTGACTGAAAAAAAGAGAAGCCATTATGACAGATTCTTAACAAATATTATTTTGTTCCTATACAGGCCAGAACTCTGAAACCACGATGTCCTAGTGAAAACAGCAGTTTCCATGAACCTTGAGGCCACACCTACACACCTAGAGTACCTTGAAGACATATTCTGGAAGCGATCTGGGCTTCAGCAAGTAGCCCTTTTAGTCAGAGAAAGGCGGATAAAGACAACACAAGATCTCTATGCCATATTGCACAACAAACAGAATCTGATAAATTGCAAGTCAAAATCACAATGATGAAAAGAAACACACTTTTTTTTTTTCTCAGACTGACAGACACTTAACATCACCAGGAACAAACAAACTGCATCAGAGCATAGAAAGTCCACATTCATAATACGTTTCCTCAGCAATTCCACAGGCAGTAAAATAGCAAAAGAAAGCACTTCTAAAAAGTCGAGTGATTTCAAAATGATCATATTACTGGGGAGCAACACCAAAAGTGCAGACAACTAGTACATTTAACACTGTCCTCTCTAGCATAAGATGGAGAACACCCAGCCAGAGTCACTGTCTCAAGAAAACATAGGGGAAAAAAAACAGGCTGAGCCCACATCCTCAAGTGAGATACGTATGTCTACCTACTTCACAATTAACCAGCTGAACTGAGACATTCAATACTAGTGCTGTTTGAATTATAAAGACTGGGTCCTCAGTATTTACATCAAGAACCCAGTGATCCATCAGGTGCAATGTATGACCATTACTCTTAAGATACCCACAGCTCCTTTTCCCCTTTCTTGAATAAGAGGCATTTCCAAATGACTGCTACCACCCCCCACCAAAGAAAGTGCCCAAGAGAATGTTTATTTTTATATCCACATTCACATCCTAGAGACTATATCACAGTATTGAGGGTCTAAGATTATTTCTGGTGATGAGAGATCACTGATGAGGCTGAGAGAACATAGTACTACAACAAATTAAACTCACTTTCTTGAACTTTCTCGAACAAAGTGCTGTGTGTTACTACTGAGAAAAAAGTGTCACTTGAACAGAGGTATTCCCAGCTGGTACCAGGGGATCTGAGAGAGCTGTAAATCACACAGTTGCTGGACTGGAGAAAGCTGATATATGCTTAATGTCTTGGTGTATATTTGGTAAGCCAGAGCTATGGGGTGAGTGTCAACACACAAGCTTCATTCCTGTCACAAGACTCTGTGATAACCCCATGGGCCCCCACTGGTCTCATCTTTATCATGATAAGCCTGGAGAAAGAGACAGGCACCCCCTTGAGGAGTCATCTTAGGAATGGCACCCCAATCAGTTTGGTCCAAGAGGTGCACAAAGTGGTGCTGGTCCCTGGCAGCGACCAAGAGGCTCCCTGCAACCTCAGACACCCAAACCTGATGAGGCCTTCATGGCTTTCCCAGCTCCACTCCTGTGCAACACAGGCAGCCGATCCCTTCACTTGTGAAATTTAAAAGAACAGCAAACAGAGCACTTAGCAGGAATGCATCACTTTCTAAACAATAAAAATATTTCACATATAGATCAAAGAATTCAAACTTCCCAAGTCTCACAGCAATAGATGTAAATTGTAAAGACATTACTGCTTTAAACAAAAATAACAGAATATAGAACAATCCACTATGCAGAAGAAAATCTACCCAAGCAGAAAGCAGTTCATCTTTACAGAGCAGCTGGAGGAACAGACACATCCCTGAGCATGTTACACCTCGTACTGTAACCCACTTCTCCCTCCAAGGGTAAGGGAGGGTCGGGCATCAAGTCCCTTCAGGTACTACCAACGTGAAATAATGATGTGATCTGCAGTGAGGAGAGTATGTATACTGACACTGTCAAGGTTCACTTAAAGTATCACCCACAGAAAGACATAATTATTTATTGATAACAAAACTAGCTAAGATAGACATGAATTCCTACTGTTACACTTCCACCCATTAAGAAATAGGCTTTTCATATTTTCTTGTATTCTTTTTCAAGAACAGTTAAGAATAAAGTGTTGGCTATTATGCTGTCACCACTGAAAATCTAATGACTTAGAAAAGGCACTGTACAAGAGTGAAGATTATAAAAAAATTGGTGAGCTGCTAATGAAAGGAAATTTTAAGATCTTCTAGGTCACATAAACCCATTCACAACTTGTTAGCATACTACAATGACCTTTGAAAATTATTTTTTTTTTTTTAAATCAGTCAAAACTTGTTAAGAAGATGTATAAATATTACCACTGGTTTTAGTGGGCACAGCGGAAGGCCCTCAGAATATTTTTAGGCCTTCATGAAGCTAAGTACTGTTAACATAAAACACCTGTAAGGATGAAGTCAGGTAATAACTATAGGACTATATAAGAATGAGAGACACCATGTAAAAGCACTGTACATACAGCATGGGTAGCCTGTGGGATCCAGAGAATGGTGAATACACCATATACAGAGCCTCCGCTCCCTCATACTGGTGCATCTGTCCCCCGTAGTCCCCAGCCATTCATTACATCTGCAAGAATATAATAGAAAGAAAAGCATAACAGGGTGCTTCAAGACCTGAGAGAAGATGGGAGCACACGGTTCAGGGTCTCCACTCCCTCACCCAGGCACTACCCAACAACTCTGGCCTACAGTTCTCCACCATGAAGAATAAACTTCTAAAAAGTTTAATGGCCATAAGGGCATGGTGCAAAATGCTTATGCTTGATGCAGTTTTTAGAAGGCAGGGGACCACTGCTGAACGGATTACATTTACAGACTCTTGTTCCAATCTGTTTTGTAATGTTTATCACTGTAATTATATATTGTGATAAGCAAAAGAGAGATAGGATGAATAAAATTGGATTTCTCAAGGAAGCAAAGATCAAAAGACTTGAAAGTAGAAAGAACCCTCAAAAGCCTAAAAAGAAAGTTTTCTAGTAACCAGTTCTGTGGCCTGCAAAACCAAATTAAAGTTCTACCTTATACTGCCCAATATCCATGTCAGAAATAAAGGGAAACAGCATACAGTTCCCAAAATATGTTTGTGGCTACATCAACTGAAGGATCAATGACTCAACTGAAAAAATGGAATTGTAAGTCTTCATTGGACATGACACTCCACAAAAATAAGAGGACAATATGAAGAAGCAAACAGTCATGTCACCCCCACTTCATTTTCTGTGGAACACAAACCCATAGGTTAAAAACCCCAAAGTTCTGATACTAACCATTTGTTTAATAGAGAAAGAAGCGTACATGCATATCCCAGACGGTTGGGAACAAAGAGCTTCCATTAATCCAGCCAGTCCAGGGTTACATTATTTCCTTCTGTTAAGCCACTTACATTTGCTGCACTTGCATCAATGTGCAATTTCATAACTAATCGTTAAAGTGTGTTGATTTTATCTTCAGAAGGAAGGACAGTGGTAGTTTTAACTTTGCAGTCATGAAACCAATGCATATGAAGAAGTTTAATGAAAAAGGAGTATTCATTAAAAATGGCAACATGGGGATACAAATGCAGAGTTCCTGCTGGTACCACTTGTATGATAAATGCACTATGAAACACAGTAGTCGGATGTGATTGCAACCAGCCTATAAATAGACACAATTTCAATTGCTCATGTAAATAATGTCTTTGAAAATCATCCACCAGTCACGTTGTGTTCTGATTAAGAAGCCCTGCATGGAAAGTGTGAACAGAACAGAAATGCCCCTGAAATTTGTTTCCTCTCTTGTACAATACAACCACTTGCCACCTCAATCTCCATCCAACTGAGCACCTTCATTCTCACTGAAATCAGTGGGAGATACTTAGCACTTTTAAAAAATAAGATCTGGTCTTGAATACATAGGGTTGATAAATTCATTATAGAAAATGTAACTCACAGTCAGTTTTAACTTTTGACAAACAATTTTTTTCTTCTTAGTAAGTCAATCTTAACATGGAGATTTTAGCCATAAATTTTAAAGCTACTTTATCACATATCTGGTCATTAAACTAAAATCACACAACACAGAAACTGATTTTTCCTTCAGCCTTGAAAATGTCACAGATATTAAAAGAACTCTGGTCAAATTCCAAACAAGAATTACATTATGGTCAGAGACAAACCACAAAATATTACATCCTAAAAATTATCTGCCAGAAATTTATGGGTATGTCAGAATTATGGGTATCACTGTCAGGTTTTAGTAACCACAATTATAGAAGTCCTGTTACCTAAAGAGTTGTTTAGTAGAATAAACACATTCTGAAACTCAATACTACTTTTTATGAAAATTAAGGCTAGTACATTCACTCTAGAAAAACCTGCAACTCAAATCAAGCATTTCAAATAAATATCAGTGAACCACATCACAATTTTCCTCCCAACTTGATCACCAGAATACTATAAAAGAAATAATTGGTAACTCATTGCCACAGCAACTAACAGAGAAAGCCAGTTAGCACCTTGAAACCTGTCTCTTCTTTCAGAATGAAACTTAAACTGTAACACAAACAATAAGAAAAAAAAAACAAAAACAAAAACAAGAAGTAAATGTCTACCTGTCACAAGAGATGAAACAGAGTATTACTTTTAAGGACAACAAAATTAGGATTCCACAAGAAGTATTGAGAAAATCAACATGTAAACAATTCTACTTAGATGGTAAGAGCACATAAATAAACAACAGTAGGTGACAAAACATATTACAGCTTTTAGGTGAATTCAGCAAATATTATTACTTAGTGTGTTGTATCTGCTATTAAACACTTTTTCCAAATGAAATTTTTTAACAAAATCATGAACATAGCCCATGTTCTACTTAAAGGATCTCTCTACACTGAAAGTTACACACTATATAAATATTCCACTAGATTTACCTAATTTAAAAAACTAGAAAACATGAAATATAAGGTTGTATGTCATGCCTGTATGTGTGCACGCATGGCCACATGTACAAACCTGTACAATTTACTATGATACAGTTAGAAGAGAAGCACACATATTGCAAAAGCTGTGTGTGTATGTGAGCACGTGTCTGAGTGTGCACACATGTATGAGTTTTTTCTCTACTTCATACATTTTCCTTCAGCCACAGACACACCCTAGAGTATTTTGAGACTGCCATGGGATGACCATTAACCCAGACCAAATAACTCTCTGTTCTATATATGCTCTTAAGCTAAAAGGGCAGGAAGGCCGCTATTGTACAAATCTAAAAAAATTTTTCTTTCTTTCTTTATTTTCTTGTCCCTTAGAGGCCACTCCTGTAGCTCCAGGCACATCATTCACAACTATTTAGAGGACAATTACACAAGTTATTTAATTTCTAACTTTGTATTTATTCAAGACACCATGTGTACTGCTGCTCTGTAACATCACAAGAATCTGAGCTATAATTCCCAGTGATGAGCTGTAATTTTCCCACAAAAATTTGTTTATGATCTCCAGTGTGTCATGACCAGCTCTGCTGGGTGTGCGTGTGTGGGGTGGGGTGTTTGGTAGCAGGGAAGGGGGCTACAGTAGTGGCCCCTTTGAGAAGCTTCTTGAAGCTCCCCCAGCTCCAAGTCAGACCCACCTTTGGCCAAGTCTGAGCCATCTAGCAATGGTGGCTGTGCCCCTGTGATAATGCATTTAAGAAGGGGAACCTGGGAGAAGGAGTGGGAGTTGTGAAGGAGACATGATGCAAACACCAAGGTCAGTTGAAGAGAGGAAAGAAGAGGAGGTGGAGGTGCGCAGGTGCAGAGACCCTCCTGCAGCCCATGGAGGTCACCGGTAGAGCAGATGCCCACCTGAAGCCCACGGAGGATCCCGTGAGGGAGCAGGTGGCTGCACCCAAAGAAGGCCAGGACTCTGTGGCAAGAAGCAGGCCCTGCTGTTGTAGTTCAGCACTGGGAAGACTGCAACATGTGGGAGAAACCTATGGTGGAGCAGCTCAGGAAGAGCTGCAGCTCATGCAAAGGACTCGCATCACAGAAAGTTCATGGAAGACTGTCTCCTCTGAGAGGGACACCACACTGGAGCAGGGGAAGAATGCAAGGAGTCCTCTCTCTGAGGAGGAAGGAGCGGCAGACTGACCGTAGCCCCATTTCCTGCCCCCTGTGCCACTGGAGGGGAGGAAGCGGAGAAACTAAGAGCAAAACTGAGCCTGGGAAGAACAGAGAGGTGGGAAAAGCTGTCTTTAAGATGCGATTGTACTTCTCACTGTCCTATTCTCTTAAGTGTTAGTTTTGTTAGTGTTTGAGTTAAACTGATGTTCTTTTTTCTTCCCCTAACAAGTCTGTCTTTTGCCTGTGACTGCAATAGGTGAGTCATCCCTCCCTGTCCTCATCTCAATTCCTGAGGATTTTTCTTTCTTTCTTTCTCCTTCCTATTCCTGAGGGGGAAGGTGTGGGTGAGAGGCTGCGTGGTGCTCAGTTACTCTCTGAGCTCAAACCACAACACCAGCTGAATGTACTTGTGAATTCAATTAACTGCTTTTCATGTAAATTTGTCAGGACAGCTTTTTTTCTACATCAGGTAACAGTAATATTCCACCTTAGTAAGGGCCAGAACATCTACAGGAATGAATTTATTCCTGTTACTTTCAACCTCACATCTACACAGTTAACACTTCTGTTAAAGTGCAGCAAACCACTCTCTCATGGCAGGCATTCTTTGTTGGCTTTATGCAGCACAAATTTTATGGCATCATGCATTTCAATCTTCCTACCCTTGGAGACCAGGTTCTCTGCAGAGATGGGAATGTGCAGAATGCAGAAAATGAGGATGTCTCACACCCAACAAGCACTGCTGCTGGGCACTTTGAAATCCCACTCAACTCTTGTTGACTGTGTCAAGCACAGACTTCCTACTCCCCTCCTACGCCCTTACTAACCCAGTGTATCAACTCGTCACACTGTTACTCCTCTGTCTCTGCTTTGCTACTCTAACAGCTGCCTGACCACAGTTCTCCAATAGCACTTTCAGTATGTTTCCATACCATCCTTTACATGTGGACTGCATTTCTTGAGCTTGATCCATAAAACTTGTACCATTTCCCCATCCTCACTCTTGCACCAGACCTATTTCTTGGATGGTATGTGAAAGAAACCAATCCAGTATGACGATGAAGTCCTTCCTACGTGGTTTGACTTTGCAAGCAAGAAATTTAATTAGCGAAATGTACTGTCTTCACTGATATGCAACAACATATTGGGTCATTGGGCATTACTGAACCATGATGACAATTTAGATTCTCCTCTATAATTACCCACCAACTAACTGATCCCAGGAGCATACCTCAGGAGGATTTTTTATATTAGATTCTCCTCTTTTTCAGTGTAATTATGCCACACAGTAGGCATAAGTATTTTTCTCCTTTCTTATCTGTCTTGCATCTGAAGCATTCCTTCATACTGACCATGAGAAAATATGATTGATTTCATGCAATGTGCCTAAAAATCCTACAGAACAGCAGATAAATCTTATATAGGGAGACATTTTTTCCATGTTTTATATAAACACATACAGACAATTTTGTCTGCTGATTGCTGATTCT